GTGCTAGTAATCAATTCGAGCCTGTAGACAAACCATCCCCCAGACGCGCCACCAAACTGAGGGATACCGCAAGGGTGTCTCCCCCCCCCCCCCCCGGAGTCTAAGGCAATGAATAGCGTACTCCTGCCGATTAACAAACCATAAAACCTAAAATTAAAAAAAGCACTTCAGTGAGTCAGCATTGTTTCAAATTAAGTTTTTTATTACTTTTTTTTTTAACCATTGAAATGTCACGCTGGGATTTTTTTCAGCTTTTTCTTTAGACGCTTGTTTCCAACAGCGATTTCAAATTGAAAGAAACAGCGGCGAGGAAAGCTTTTAAACAGTATTTTGTTTTGACAACGAAACGCTAATCTGGATCGCAAATTGATGTTAATCTACAAAAGTAGTGATTAAAATCGACTTTTCGGGGAACTTTTGTAATAAGCTGCAAGGCACAAGAGATAACGATCGTCTTTAATAAACCCTTGACAGTTCTAAAACGGAATTTCCTGAATTGAAATTTGCAACATAGAGGCGAGACATTGTTAGCTTATGGGCAATCAATTCCCAGAGAAGTCATTAAGAGTTTTTTTTGGTGGCGTGGGTAAAAGTGCCTTTTAAATTGCAAATTTCCTAATCTATTTCGTTAGCTGTAGAACTCATGACACCTGCTTATGTCGCGGAAGATATTAAAACTGTATATAACTTATCTTTGCGTTTTGTTCAATGTAATTTGCAAGCGTTTGCATATAGTTTACTTTCGGTTTTCTCTTCCAGGGGTTCTTCGATACAAATGTCAAAATTTTTAACGAGGGTCCTTGCGAATCTACTCTCAGAGTTGCTCCAAATCAACCGCTTGCCCGCCTTCGTTCGAAATATTTCAGTGATCCGTTGAACTTATATAACCAGTTTTAGTCGACAAACAAGAAAGCAGAAGACATTCACTCAACACGGATTTTCTTTTCAAAACGTTTCGCGCGTGGGATAAGGAAGTTCCTTTTTAGTTACCTCTAGAATTTAGCGTTTTGATTTATTCACAATTTTTCGCATTCACTTGTTTCATATACGGATTCTCCTCAGCGAGAAAGGCACAATTCATAACCATGAATAAGCATTAATAGTGTTCAATTTTTTTTCGTAAACAAAACAATAAAACAGTCGGAAGTACCATTTTAGTTTCAATCATTTATTGTAAGACAAATCTGCTTTAGGTTTTTTATGGGGCTGGTGCATCAGAGATCACAAGTAGGGGGAGTGACTCTGCCTTTGTCATAATATCGAGTTTGTATCCGTTTGTGTCTTGCTTTACAATAGTCATACAAAAGACATTTTCAACCAAAAAATTTCATCCATTGCACCAAGATGGCCTCGTCAGTAGTATATTTGTCTTTCAAATCCGCACTGTTTTCGCTTTCAGATGGCTGTTCATCAACAGCTAGTTCTAAATTGTTGTTACAGTCGCGTCCAATTTCACTCTCTTTATTTTCGTGAGAAATATATTTGGCAAAAAATCCTGTTTTCAAATTTAACGCGGGAAGAATACAGTGTCGTTGGCTTTCTTTCTTGCTTGGAGGAAAAGATAAGCGACGGCTCGAGGCTGGCTGAGAATGCCTAGCTTTCTGAACTTCCAGAACTGGAGCATTAAAAGGAACAGGGACTAGAGACGACTTTCGTCTCCGTGTGTACACTTGTCGCCCTGCTTGATTACTGTCTGTTTGCATTTGTGGTCTGTTCTTAATACAGACAGATGACCCCGTCAATTGTGGGTCCACCGTTCTGCTCCATCTTTCTTGACGATCCGGCGACTTTTCCACCTGCTCCGCGGTAACTAAACACATGGGATCAGAATGCCTTCTAGGCGTCAATAAATCCCGAACTCCACTTCTCCATACCCCCTGCCCACTTTCAACCGAAGATCTTTTCCAAGAGGCGTTTTCTCTTTCAGCGCTCACACTGTAGCTGTCATTTGTACGCAGTGACAAGCTTTGAATAGTCCCCTGCGTTTTCAAACCAGCTGGCTCCGAATATCTTCGCCTTTGACAAGAAATAGGCGCATTAGAAGGGCGCCTTATTATCAAATACGAACCGTCCCGGTAAATTGCTGGTAAAGACATAGTTCTCGGTCGACGGTGGTAGCTTAATCCTTCACCCGCAGTAATAGTTTCGAATCCATGAGCTAACCTCGTGCTTTCCGAGTGACAATTATCGTCGCCAGATTCTGAGATTGTTTTTAGTTGAGTTGATTGTACAGAAAGACGTCTCTCGGTTACTCGTGGATGAGAAATGCTGTTCTCGTAACACCCCAATGGATACGCAACTTTTCCTCCGAAAATACTTTCCACCATGTTCGTCGACTGAACTTCGTACCACGATCCGACTGCCTCATAAATCCTGTCTATCGGAGATATATTTTCAGTTTTCTGGCAGATCCAAATCTTCTGAGGTGATCTATTGTTGAAATTGCCCAGTGCCCTTTTTAAGGAAGCTGACCTGTTCGCGAAAAACACAACTTACGAACAATGTTCGCACTGGAGGACGATTCTTCTACAAACGTAGTTTCAAAGCGAAAGCTTGCTTGTGGTCGTTTTGTTAATAAGTGTGTGCTTATAAATATTAACCACGGTTTGGCTACACGTAAAATTAATAACAACCATCGAAAGTGCTCTTTTTTTAGACCACTTATCATTCAAGACTGGTCAAGCATGGATCGAGTGTCACGAGCTTGCTCAACCGGCGCGCTTTATGTCTCTTGCATAATGATATCAAAACACATTTGCACCCTTAATGAGGCTGTTTTCATTCCTCTGGAATGACCCTGTCAGAAATGAAATTGTCACTTTTAAAATTGGTTTGCCTGAAAGAAGTATTTCGTGATTTAAATGGAGCATTTTTATCTCCCTAACAATGAGAACGGTTATCTTTATGGATCGCCAGGTGTAGGTATAAATGTCATAAATGAAAGGTCGTAGCCGAGCTGTTTCAGGAGGAAAAAGTATAAAAAACCAAACAAAAAATCGTCCATTTACTAGAGTAAAAAATACTTTCTTCCCAATAGTTAATACAGTATACGCATGCTCATGTTTCAACAGCATTTATAGATAATTTTCATTGTTTTCACGCGATGTGCGCGCTGAAGTTACATGGTAGCAGCTTGCAGAGTACAAAAGTGTTAAGTCTGTCGGAAAATATTCAAAACTCTTGCTAAAATAATGAGACTAAAGAAGATTATTTTGCATTTGCAGTCGTAAAATGTTCTTTAATTAATAAAGAGTAACTTTTTTCGTCTTAGAAGACACTCTTAAAATGATCAAACGACCGGGAATGAATATAATACAGATAGCTTGCTGGGGGGGGGGGGGGGGGGGGGATGATTAAAGATAAAAAATTATACTTTAAGTGAAGATGATCTAGTGAAAGGAGAGAAAAAGAGGAGGGAGGGAAGAGAGGGAGGGGGGGGGGGGGGGGGGGGGTGGGGGGGGGGGGGGGGGGGGGGGGGTGGGGGGGGTAACTCCTGGGATTTCTTGGTGGTGGTGTGCCCGCGGTTCTCCAAATCCTGACCCAGTTTCAGAACAAAAAAAATGTCATTTCCACAATCGTTTTCAGACCTGGCCTCTAAAATCCATACCCGTGTGGTCACAAAACATAGCATTACATGTTTGCACAGAAATTAATTATATCATCATTGCTGAGATTAAAATTGCAACTAAAAGATTACTTAAAATCCCCCGGCAAAATCCATTTCGATTTCGCATATTCCACCCTCTTATTTATTTGGAATTGAAACGACCGAACACATTGATACACAACCGTAATTCCTTTGTAAACCATACCCAATTGAACGGCTCAAAATGGGCAAAATCTATAACCGTTCTCAGACCAAAACGGCACAAAAACTCTACCCTTTGGGGCGGCACATACCAATATGGCTTATATAAGGGAGTACCCCCGGTACTCACAGCACTGGGCAACCGATGTAATTCATCAGATCCACTTCGTGAGCGATGATTGGGCCTATTATCTTGGTACCTCCCACCACCGAGCTCTAAAAATATCTGGCATAAATTAACGTCCGACGACATCCATTTTTCATTTTCAAATCAATGATTGCTATCATTTTGCCTGCGCTTATCTTCTTAGATTAAAAACAGGCATCCTCTATATTTTTTTCTTATATTACCTTTTCAACTAATGCCAAATTGAGTCAGTTTTTAAAAGTTTTACAAACCCGGACATACAGAACTCTGAATGCGCCGTTTATATAACACAGACCTTTGTACTGCTCAATTTAATTACAGGAAAACATTTTTTTCCTTGTGGTTTGTGACAATTGAAAAAATGACCTTGGCACTGAAGACGCCGTGTAATTATATAAAAAAATTCTCGCAATATTAGACAAATTTCTTTGGGTTAAAATGGTTTTTGTTTGTCTCTTTTTATCTCCCCAATAGCAATGGAAGTCAAACTGATGTACTTTTTGTGATTTATAGTAACATGCGATAACTGCGTTCTTTTCGAGACACTGGGCACGTGAAGATGGCGGGCGACGGCAACGATAACCTCAAAAAGAGCGATAAGTAATAAATAGGCAAAATGTAGCATACCACAGACATCGAACTTATCCCACTCGAACTTATCAACATTAAAAGAGAACAACATAGAGCACGCGAACGTTTTTGCATTGAAAAGTCACAAACTATGCAGCCACCGGGAATAAACTGAGAGGACGACCGTTAAACGATTTACGAACTCATTATTATTATATTCTTTATTTCATTTCAGTTTATTTTATTATTATTATCATTATAATTATTATATTTGTTTATATATTTTTATTTATTTCTAATATTTTCTTTTTTCATTGTTTTATTATTATTTACTTTTTATTTTTTATTCTATTTTTTTACATTTTATATTTTATTTATTTATCTTTAACTTTTATTTAATTTAATTTATTATTATTATTACTATTTTATTATTATTAAATACTTTTTATTTTACTTAATTTTTTTTTTTCCAGTTACCAAACTATCTCATTTGTTTGAATCGTTTCTCGTTATTGGCTCATTTAGTTTTTTACATCACCTTTGTATCAAATTTCCAACTGCAACTCGTCGTTTATAATATCTGAATTGTAACGACTTTCCGATTCTTTATTAAATCCCCTGAAGAACGACGGCTTGTCCGTCCGAATATCGGAAAACCTCAAGTCGCTTTTCTCTTTGCTGTTTTGTTATTGATGTCTACAAAATGTAGCAACACCTATTTGTACATTTCGTTGTCGTCACTGCACGACTCAGACGAAGACAACGTGAAAATACTCGTAGGCTGGACGTAAACAAGTCACGGCGAAATATTCTTTGGCTTTCCAGGAGTCCATTGTAAGTGAGCGGGAATCAGTTCGTATGAAGAGTTCACTCGAAGGCGACGTTGTCGCCGCCGTGACCGTCCTGGGATCTGGGTCTACACTGTGTGGCCCCATGCAAGGGAATACGGGAAATGTTTGCTGGTGAAATGTGGCATCCTAGGCCTTGGAATCCGAAATAGAGCTCAAGGGATCCCGAATCCCACTAACGATTAGAATCCGGAATTCAAGTTCCACTGACAAAGACTGGAATCCAGTACCTGGAATCCGCAGTCACGGTATGGAATCCCAGAATTCAAGACTGTCTTGGATTCCCTTACTTTGGGCGAACTGTGGAGAGCAGGTTCGTGTAGCTGCGCACAGGAGACGCAGCCCCTCTGTTCGGAGGCCGACCTAAAACCCCTTGCGAAGATGTACATAAGCAGGAGCCGGCTCCCGGCATATATAAGCGAAGCCCAGGGCTTATAAACGTCAGTTTACGGTATCTGATATTTGTATTAAGCCCCCAAATCCAATATTTTCTATTTGTCCACACTTTTAAACACCCTCTCCCACTTTTTGTTCATTTTTAACATTCGAAAAATCATCTAAAACTTCTTAAACATTTCAGTATCGAACCAATTACTCTGACCCTAACGAGCCATTGTTTAGACGCCCAGCTGGTTCCTTTTTAAAAAAACCTTGCCCGATTTCAGACCATAATGTGCAAAATCTATACCTTTCCAGACTTTTGAGACCAAAACGGCTAAAGAACCAAACCCTTTGGGACGGCATAGGAGTACCTCTTCCCCTTGGGTGCCAAACAGAATGAGGCAACAATCTCTGTAACTTTCCCCTGGTTTATGGCGTTAAAAATTAGGTTGTCGCTATCTATAAATTAGAATTGCTTCGTACAAAGCGTGTTATTTGAAATCACATGGCATAAACCGCTGCGGGGCTTTCGATACTTGCTTTAGAGGCAACTACTTTCTCCCTTAAATCACAATTTGATTTTATCAGAAATGCTCTTGGTTTTTTGCCATCTCAGTTTTAAAAGGAATAGCACACAAACTGCGGTTACGAACATCAGAAATAACAAAGTAACTGTCACTTCTGAAGATGTATGTTGAAGCATACGAAACGTCAAGTTCCTTTTATAAAAGTCAGTTGTACAATGCGTTTGTTATTTCTGATGTTTGTAACCGCAGTTTGTGTGTAATTCCTTTTGATTTTATTAAACCCGATAACATTACATTAAGCTAAAAAATCTCAGCACGTGATCAGTTTTTGGCCACCCCTACTCTGCTTACCCGTGCGAGTCACTTTATGTCAACGAAAACTAATCTCAAAGCACTAAAACGAATCTATTAATTGACATCTGCGTTATGGAAAGTAGTCTGTTACACAGCCGTTTTTACTGTCGTCACGCAACGCCTGAATTTTTTTGTCAGGCTTTCTTTTTGTAACTGCAAAAGTTGCGTATATAACTGAGATCGATCTACTTTCATATAATTCTTCACCCCGCAGTTCACATATATGATTTTTATATATTCATAACTTTAAAAGTAACATCAAGATGTATGCAGATGACCATGGAAGATGTGAAAAGCACTTAAAAGGCTGACCTCAAATTGGTACCGACTCAATTTGTTGAAATGTAATCCGAAAAAATATCAATTTAGTTTTTGTGCACCGGTTTTGTGCTCGCAGGGTGTCCCTTGGTGAATTTATTTTCAGATCAATTGACTTCATCATCAATAAAAGTGACTAAGTACTTCTTTTTTATTTTTATTTTTGTTGTCCTTAACTTAACTTTATTCCGTTAACTAGATTTACGATGCTCACATTTTCCTTTTTTGACAACTGTTTCATTTACTTCTACAATCGGAATGCAGCACTTTAACACATCACGCTGAGCTCGACATTAAAACATTGCTTCGCTACTTTAAGATCTAAACAAAGAAAAACAGTAAGAGAAAAGGGACCAATAGAGCCTGCGGCCTCATTCCAGCGGTTTCAGCACTGTTATTCAGGGGATTGTCGAGGTCCTTCACACCATAACATTGGTCATTTCCTGTTGCTCCAGGATCTCGATTATATTGCAGAAAGGATTGTAGTCGTTGTAGCTCAAATCTATTAATTCCTGGTCAGAAGATGAAAAGGTACATTCCGACCGTGACAGGTTCTTCAGGCACTTCTTTGCTTTGGCATTTTCCCTGTCGAAATGAAGAGAGACCAATGTGTCAGGAATTTTTTATGGTAGGGGGCGGCTGAAGTGGCGAAAGGGAGAAAGGGGCTGCTCGGGCGGAGCAGAGAAATTGGGGAGGCAGAGGGACTCAATCTACTTTGCATAATCGTTCCTAATATCTCCTTAACTATCTCCTAGTTAAATTCTTTAACCCTTAATGGCTCGGCATCACTCACTGGACGAAAAAAAGGATTTTGCACAAATTTGCTTTTGGCAAATATGTCGCAAGATTTTAAAAACAGATGAGTAAATCTGAGGCAAAGATGGTAAATGCAACATTTGCATTGCCCAGTTATTTACACCCCCTGTTTTTTGGACCATGCAAATGTGGCATTTACCATTTTTGCCCCTATCTGCCAGGAGTAAATTTGTCCAAATCCATTTTTCCGTCCAGTGACTTTTCCCTATCGATCTACTGCAAGTTGAAACTGGCGAGATTTGACAAGCTTGTCCCTGGAATTCTGAAGGAAAAGGCCGGGGAACATTGCTGTGTGGGGAAATGAGAGGAGACTGAAGGTCGGGGAAAAAATGGATAATTATGACATTAAGCATAGGTAGACTTCTAAACTATTTGCAAACCATGGCCACTGACTGCCACCACACCCTATAGGGTCATAGATAATATGGGAGTTAAGTATAGTGGATTGTTCTTGGCACGTAGCTAACTGGGAAGACTTTAAATTATTTTTTTTAAGATTCAACTTACGAGCAAAGATCTGGATCCGACTTGTTTGCAGCGAATTTATGATGGAAGGTTCTCAAACAATTGGTTGCATCAGTGGTAAACGAGCTGCGACATGGTGAGCCCACCGAAGGAATGGCTGGAACCTCATATCCACCTTTTAAACACATGACATTTTCTTTGACATACTTGCGTGCAAGGCTTTCGATGCGACTTTGAGACAAATAATGTCCAGCACAAATATGCCCAGTCTTTGTCAAACAAGCAATTAATCTCTCGCACTTAGCACTACGGACGAAAAATGGAAAATTAATGCATCATCGTGTCCAGAATTAAAGGGAGACATTTATATGTTATTAGCGCCGGCACTGCATTTCATCGTCCGTTAACTTTATAAATTGGGCTGGTATATGTGTTTTGGTCACCTACAGTATCCAAAACTATCCCATCCCACAATGCCTTTGAACACAACTCGGAACCTCAATACCCCTTGTTACAGAGATCAGTCTCTCATGTATAACTGAAACTCAACGTGAACCCACTTAACCTAGCTGTAGTTACATGTATGTCGACATGCATGTGCGTAGGAAAGCACCGAAGAGGAAGTTGGGCAAACAAATGCGAAGCAGTAGTTTAGGTATCTTTGCAAAAGACCGGGACTTCGATCTCTAACAGTAAAGTAGACTGCTTGCTGTTGGTTTTTCTCTCGAATTTCGTCCTTGAAATGTAATCCCACTAGCTCAAAAAGCTCAGAGAAAAAAAAGTTGCCGTGAAGACAGGAATTAGGGCGTTTCAAGGAACACAGTGAGGGGATATGTTTAAGAAAAGCTGGACCACAAGAAGTGCGCATGCGCAGTGAAAGTTCTCCTCGGCACACTGGAGTAGGTGGACAGCTCTTTTAATGGCCGCCTTCGCAACACCCCTTTTTCTCAACTCCCATACAAACTCTGTGTTTTTACATTCCCGTAAGCGGCCAGCTTCAATTACGGACAACTTTTTCGCGTTACGAACAACTGTTCTGTACCTGCAATCTCCATTAGGATCTTTCTGGAGTGTTTTAACAAAGACCGTTTGGCATTTCATGGCATCACAGAAATATTCCATGAATGTACCTTTAACCAACGTCAGGAAGAGCTGTTGTTCTTCCTGCAGATAGGATGGCTAAAAGAAAACCGAGAGAGATTATTGCAATTGAAAGAGTGAATGATATTCAAAGTACAAAAAAAAAACACAAATAGATAAATGGATCAATCATTCAATAAAAGCTCAGATTGAGTGTAATTTGGCTTTTCTCAGCTGGTTATCCTAGTACTTGGCGTATTGCCGCTTTTCCTGGCAGCACAGTTGTGTACTGTGTCAGTTTACCACAATAATAAGCGAAGCGCCTAACAAAAATGGGAAACGAGTAAGGAGGAACGCGAAACGAGAAACTATCAAGGGCAAGAGGAGAGTGAAATAATTGAACAAAACAGAGAATGTGTAAGAGGATAGGCTTTGTATCCATATATTCTTCATTTTCCCGTCCTCAAACTCGTTTCCATTGCCCGTTCGTCATTTAAGTAACTTCTCCTTTTAAGTTCCTTTTTTTTGTAAAAATTTCATGTTTGAATCATTGCCCATCATCTCAGATGACAGTCTCAGCCCTCGAATGTTTAAAAAGCGCTTCGATATTTTGATAAAAATGCATCTTTATAGCCCACTCAAATAAACCTATGAAAAGAGATAATCAGTCGTAAAATGTATAACCAATCAAAATAGAGAATAGGTTGCGCCCTTTTCTTGCAGGTTGATGAAATAAATCACGATGCCATTTTAAAAGCTCAAATCATAGCAGAAACACAGAAAACGACAAAAATTTTGTAAAATTCTCAATCTCGGTACTGGGCTTGTTCTCCGTCGTCTTTCTTTTGATGCAAAACGTTTTTTTTTTTGGCTTTATCTTATACATTGTAAGAAATTCCAGGCATAGTCACTGAAATGATCATAGTTAAGACTAAAGAATGCCTATTGTTGGACGGAGTTGTTTTTTGACTGTTCAGTTTGAGTGCAAGAACTGACATCACAGAATATGCAAGCAAAACAAAGGCACTTTTCTGCATGAATTAGCATGAAATTCGAGCAGTAGGTTCGGTTTTTGTAAAAAGGCAAAAGTCTTGAAATTAATGAAACCGAAGTTGACGGCTTACCAAACAAGAGAAGAATGCTTTTGAGGTACATTTCGCCTCTACGATGACTTCACTGTGGTGACCTGTTAACAGTTGATCTGTACTGAGACTAATTTGAACTTGAACTGCCAACTCGCATTTAAAAGCACAACAAGAAGACACAATGATGCATAAAAACTTGATGTGAAACTACTGCATGGTAACAACAGGAAGACAAAATGACGCAAAGAGACCGAGCGTAAAAATACTTTTAAATATGTTCCCGTGATGTACTTGGTACGTGGAAAACTGCGCCCTCCTCCCCCCCCTCTCCCTTCCCCCTTTCACAAGAAATATCACCCCCGCATTTTATTGTCTTTTTGTCACATTGTCATAAAAGAATGAGGAGTCCTTAGTTTGCTATAGAAAACGTACGTTTTTCTAAATTTTCTGACCCACCACTAAAACACTACTTAATTAGTTTCTCTTAGATTGTTCAGAACATCATCGAGCAAAACGAAAAATGAATTTATGTTAAATCATAAGGCATTTGGGCATGAAGCTCGCGTCCAAGGCTGTTATGAGGTTCGACCGATTAAAAATGAAAATAAACAAATAAATAAATAAATAATAAAAAAAATGACATGCCAGGCACAAAAAGAATTTTGTGAGGTACATTTCGTAACTTGTCTAAGGACTTTGGTGCAATGTGTTTAGAGGGTGTGAATGAGGGTACCTCGATCACACTAAACACTGCATTTTTTTGCTTTGTAACATGAAACAGTTAAATTTTAGGCGTTTTCACACTAACAGTAAAAAATTCTTTGAAACAGTATATTTTTCCCAGAAAGAAGCAAAAACGGCTCCAAAAAGGCCAATATTATTTTTTTTAGTATATCAAGGAGTTTTCGGCCATTTTACGACAAAATATTTATTTGAGATTCCCAAAGGCTATCGAACATTCCCGAAGACTGCCGAAGACTCTCGAAGACCAACGAAGAGGTCCAACCATTGCCAAAGATGTCCGAAGAACCCACCTTCGGAAACAGAAAACATTATAAAATTGGCCAATTTAACAGCAAACACTAAAAATTTTTATGGCCAAATAACACTTAACACTAAACCCCATTCAGACCCTCTGTTTACATACATGTCTGAAAAAGTGTGGAAGCAACTTGTGTAACAGGAAGCAAAATGATTTGAAGTGTCCGAGAGTAAAGATGCTGTAAAGAACTTCCCGTGAACATATTTAAGAGGTTCCTTTCGTCGCGACGTTGCCGCTGCAATGACCGTCCTTGGATCTTTAGGTCCCCACTTTGTCGCTCTGTGCAAGGGACTGCTAGGGAGCTTTAACATCGACGACGGCAACGGCAGCGAAAATGAATTCCCGTTTTTTTCAATCTTTGTCGCGTTTTATTCCAATTTGCTGAAAATGGCAAGTGTAGGCGAATTTCCCTGGGAGCTGATTTCTTGAGGACCGCACGCAAGTTTAGAGAGAGAAAAAGAGATTTGTCGTCGCTTGTTTACGTCCTCAATAAAACTTGCAATTAGGCATTTTCACGCCGTAGTCGCGCAAGGACGGTAAAGAAATGAACAAAAAAGCGTGTTGCTAAAGCTCCCTACTGATTCCGGAATCCGCGAAATTTTTGCTTGTGTACTGCGCGACATCCTGGGCTTTGGAATCCGGAATACAGCTCAAGGAATCCGGAATCCCACTAACGATTGGAATCCAGAATCCAAGTTTTATTGACAAAGACTGGAATCCAGTACCTGCAATCCGGAGCCACGGTATGGATTTGATTGCCTTTCATAAGGCGAACTGTGGAGAGGCGTTCTTACGTCGACGGTAGTACATAGCCGCGCACAGGAAGCCCAAGCTCACTATGAGAGCCCGTGAGAACCACCTCCGGCTGCTTAGCTAATTAATTATGCATACAGTAACAATTTTAAAAAGTTGTATGCTACTCTGTAGTAAAATTTCTTATGTTTATTTGTGAACTGACTGCGTTTCAGGCCTCTTAGGCACGTTTACCTTGCCCAGTTTAGCCTGTTCTGGCTTGTCCAAAGCGCTTTTTCTATTCCAGTTATAAGCGCCCTTGGATATAGCCCCTCTGTTCATAAGCCGACCTAAAACCCCTTACGAAGATGTATCGAGCGCAGCCTAGGGGTTATAACGCGGACAGTTTACGGTATCTGATATCTGTATTGAACCCCCAAATCCAATATTTTCCAATTTTCCATATACTTTTAAACACCCTCCCCCACTTATTGTTCCTTTTCAACATTCGAAAAATCATCTAAAACTTTCAGTATTGAACCAATTACTCTGACTGTATCGAGCCATTGTTTAGACGTCTCTCTCGATTCACAATATGATTTTATTAAAACCCGATAATATTAAATTGAGGTAAAAAGTCCCAGTTCGTAATCAGCACGTTAATTTTATTATCCTTCTGAAAGTTAAATGTTTTTTTGTTCGCCATCCTCTACTCTGCTTACCCGTGAGAGTCAATTTATGACTTTGACTATGCAAAATGCTTAATGAATTTGTAAAGAGCGAGAATTAATCTCTTGTCATTAAAACGAATCTATTATTGATATCTACGTTATGGAAAGTAGTCTGCTACACAGCCGTCTTTAGTGTCGTCACGGGGAGGAGGGTTGCGTGACGACACTAAAAACGGCTGTGTAGCAGACTATATGGAGAGTGAATCTTCTGGTAACGTCCAGCAAGTCTATATAATTTTTATAGTGTCCGCGCGCCACTGTTCTGTTTTGTTTGTCCAATAAATAACATGAATTGGATCAAAAGGGAATTTGTCCTTTGTCTTGTCATTAATTATGCGTACTTATGCGCGTGAATAATAATCTGAAGAAGAAAAATATCACATGACTAACACAACGAGAAAAACTGATACCAGCTGAGCCATCATCGTCTATTTTGGGCTCCCCTTGTCTACCCTAAAACGCTCATAAATACCGAAAAACCGACTGAAGAACATACAGTGTTTAATATTAGGCTTGCAATGCCCCGACTTCGAGTGTGTGTTATTGGAGCCGGTGCTGCTGGACTCGCGGCCGCTAGACATCTCACAAGTGAGCTGGATGCGTTTGATGTGCATGTGTTTGAACAAGCCTCTCGTGTTGGAGGAACATGGGTGTTCACTGAAAATACAGGAATCGACGAACGTGGGATTCCTGTTCACTCCAGCATTTACAGAAACCTCAGGTAATTAAAGAAGAAATAGAAAGAAGAAACTTGCCACATTCATATTGAACTTAACCTTCAAAATTAAGCGTGTTTTTTACTAGCGGCGTAAACACAGACGCTAGAAGTATTGCCAAGGCAAACATAAACACAAGCATAAAATATAAATTGTTCATGATCACTGATTTTTGATTGCGTAACTTGGCTTGGCTACCCGAAGAATCAATCATCTTCGATGAGAAGATTTTTGTTACTGTCAGATTAATTACAAGGGCCTTCAGAAAAACCTGTGACTTCGATTGAGATATACCAACCTGCTGTTTATAAACGTTATTACTTTTTTCTTGATGAAACTTTGAAGCAAAAATTATTATCAAAGCTTAATTAATTACTCCATTTTTTGTCTCAGTTGCAACCGCTCGGGCCAGAGTCACGCACGCTCCCCGCTCCCACGTGGCGAATCACGCGGCACGGGGAGCTTGCGTGACTCCAGCGTGAGCGGATTCGCTTTCTGCCATGAGGCAGGAACGCGTTCTTTTAAAAGAGAGAGAAGCGCAAACTAGTGATCTGATTGGCCATGTATCAGTATGTATGGCCTTGTGGCTAGGTCCGATACCTTCTGTCTTGACAGTTTTTTTACTTTTCAAGGCAGTTCAAAGTCATTTTCCCTTCTGTTAACTTCTTCACGTATTCAGTACTAAAAAAGTTAGTCTTCTTGGTCTTTTTTCCGTGACCAGCGTAGATATGCAAAAGAATCAAGCTCTTATATCGCATGACTCAAATGGTATTTACGGCACGAGCCAAGCACGTGCGGTCCGAATAAAGCAATGCAGCTAAAAAGAACGATATATTCCATTTTGTTGTGCTTCTGGTGCCTTTCGGCTGTCAGTGTTCATATACAGCTAACTTTTAAGAGCCATTCCTGCTATGCCCATATAAATTTATTCTACACTTTGCCTACACCTCCCCTCCCTCCCCCCCCCCCCCCCCCCCCCCCCCCCTCCCCCCCCCTCTTTTTTCCCCCCCCCCCCCCTCCCAAAAAAAAAATTGAAAAAATTGATTTTCCCATTTTTCTCGGGTTTTCTATCACCCCACTTTTTTTGTCGCCAGGGGGGGGCGGAAAAGAGACAATAGACAAGTGGGGGGATTAAACAAAAAAAAAACCATGTCCACATATCTTTCTCCCCCCCTCTCCCCACCCCCCCCCCCCCCCCCCCCCTCCCCCCATCCCCCCCCCCCTCCCTCCCTCTCTTTATCCCCGCCCCCAGCTTCCAAAAAGAAAAATTGCATAACTGTGCTTTCCAATTTTACCTAGGTATTCGATCACCCCACTTTTTTTGGCCGCAGCGGGGTGGCGACAAGTGGCAATGCGAAAGTGGGGAGTCTTAAAAAAAAAAAACTTTAAAATAGGACTGAGTGTGGTTACACAAACGTGACTAGACCGTGAGAAATTTTGCATTCATGTCAGCCCTTCTGATCCGGGATCCAGCCGGGTGGTGATAATTTATCAGGAAAGAACGTTCATATGAAGCTCACACTGTCCTTTTAATAATGCTCTAATGTTGCTATAATCATGGCCAACTTTAAGAATTTTTCCAGCTGTCCAAAAAGGGCTTAACTTGATTTACATGCCAGAGGGTTTAGTGGAAAAGCGGATATAAACAAAAACCTATTTCGACTTTCGAATTTGTTTACATTCTCTTTTTACGTTGTCGTTTTTGGATGTTACCAAAGCGAATCATTGAACTCTGTACACGCTCAGTAACTCAGATTGTGTTAAAACTGGTATATTAACACAAACCGCGAAGTTTGCTGCTGTGGTTCTCCTACTTACGAACAACAATCGACTTGCTTTTACTTATAGCAGGGAACAAATATTCAAGACAGGTTGACGCGCAACCGTAACAGCCTCTAAATCCCACTTTTCAAAACAGCTTCTGGGCAACGATCTTTCGCCTATAGGGGGCCCCTATAGGGCAGTGAAGATTTGGAATGGCTTGGATGACTCATTCAGATTACAACCCTCAATTTCTGATTTAACCCTTTAAGCCCTAAGAGTGATCAGCATCAAATTTCTCCTTGTAATATCAATGCTTTGTAAATCAGAGTGGTCATGAGATTTACGGACATGATCACACAAGATGAATTTGCTTGATATTTTATCAACTTCTCCCCACTACTTCTGTAGGAAATGAATAGGGGCAACCAAAGAGAATTCAAATTTTGATCTTGGGGTTTAAAGGGTTAAAGAGGGCAATGAAGACCTCCTATTGTCTTTGATCTTCGATTCATAGAATTTCATTGATTTTATTGGATTTAACCATTACTTTTCCTTTTTATAAGGTCTAATTATTTATTATCCATCTGTAAATAGTTACAGTTAAAATTTGGGCGGGCAAACAAGGTGTATTATGGGAGATGTGCAAATGGCGAATGACCGGACTTTTTGGATTCTTTGTTGCCCTGGTAATAGGCATAACATAAAGTGCAGTTGTACCCCTGACTTTAAAAGCACGTGGGCGCGCAACTTTAAATTCCACAAGGAATGAGCTCTCTGCATTCTGCAGTCACGTGCCACTTCAAAAAGACTATAGTTTTACTTTAGCAGTTGTATTTGAAGGCGTATTTCTAGCAGACTTTGGGTAGAAAATTATACGTTGAGAAAAAGTTTGTGTTCTAATTCTGAGGCAGCTAATGAACTGTGCGCCAACTTATGCTCGCAAGCAATTTGCATCTTAACACGCAAACAAAACAAAATTACCATTTTTCACAACTATAGTGCGCACACTAGTATTTAGGAAAATGAAATTCCATGGCGAAGAATTAACTTCACGTGAAAATGTGGACTCGACAAGTTGCAGACACAAACAACGTCAACCCAGTATAATGAATGATTCATCGTATTTCTTTGAGGGAGCCTAAAAGTATAATCCCTGCAGAAAATAATGATACTTTGAACTTAGCCTCGCTTTGAAGCAGAGATTTTAGGCAATTTGGAAATGGATTATGACGCTCGTTGGAAACACTTGAACTCAAACAATATTTTTTAAATCTCTTGTCAGAACCAATCTGCCCAAACAGATGATGGCTTTTCCTGATTTTCCATTTCCTTCAGAGTGGAGCTCATTCTTAAGTCACCAACAGGTTCTGAAATACTTAGAAGATTATGCCAGTCATTTTTACTTGTACAAATACATTCAGTTCAACTCCATTATCAGCAGTGTTCGTCCACTGATGGGAAAAGACAGTCAAAAGCCACTGTGGGAAGTTGTTGTTACAGATGCTGATACTAAGGAATCTCAAGTCCTACTGTTTAATGCTGTTATTGTTTGCAGTGGGTAAGTCGATTTCTGTCTTTCGCGGTTGTTGCTAAAAATATCGAAAACCTCTACAACATTATGACTTTGACAGAGTCGGAGCTGTAGTAGTAATCAGAACCGTAGTACGGTACCTTACGATCTAGTGAAAACAGCTTTCTGATTCCGCTTACGACTCCGTCGTTTACGATCAAGTGAAAAATGGGTCGTTGGAGTCGCAAGCAGATACGGAAGAACTAAACCAATCACAAAGCGGGGGAACGTGCATTGCGATTGGTTTATAGGTCATAGGTTCGAATCCTGTCGGGGACTCAAATTTTTTTCTTTGTCCCACACTCGTGACATGTTGATTATTTCATCTTCACATTAGATATAAATATTTTTAGAAATTGAAAAAGTTGGAGGCATCATCAAAAAAATCGATTCGGTTTTGGTGCATGCCTAATTTTCTTTCCCGCTTCGTAATTCCAAGTGTTTCTTGCTACATATCAGACTGTGTTCTCTATCTATTTCGGGCGCACCCGCACCGATTTGATTAGTCTGTCCCATCGCCGTCTGTTGGCTGCGACAGATGGAAGTTTCTGCCTCGTAAAGGTGATGTTACACGCGACGATTCGCAACGACGATTTTTAGCGCAACAAAGCGTTGCAATGTTGGAACAATGTTGTAACTATGCAAAACAATTTCGCAACAATGTTGCAACGCTGTGTTGCGCTAAAAATCGTCGTGACCGTTGCGAATTGTCTCGTGTAACGTCACCTTACGACCGGTATCAGTCTCTAGATGGTTAATGAATGTGGTTTCGGGAATCCAAGACAATGTTGGATTCTGGATTCCACACCGTGGATCCCGGATTATAGGTACTGGATTGCGGATTTCATTCGTTTGTGGGATCCCGGATTTCTTGATCTTTATTCCCGATTCCAAAGGCCAGGATTCCGGATTTCATTCGTTTGTGGGATCCCGAATTTCTTGATCTTTATTCCCGATTCCAAAGGCCAGGATTTCATATTTCACAGCAAAAATTTGCTGGATTCAGGATTCCACGGGCAAAAATTTCCCGGTTTCGGGAATCCGGATTCCCTCATATGGGTCAGGTGATGCTGGTCGCCCCCGTGCGTGTCTGCCGTGGTTTGGTTCCTAAAGAAGCTACAAGGAGAGAAATTATAGTTATTCATTTGATGACATGTTTAATCTTTCCGCTCTAACTAAATTATCTGCAGGCATTACTCTGTTCCGTATGTGCCCATAATTCCTGGTCTGGAGTCTTTCCCTGGACTTGTTATGCACAGTCATGATTATCGCCATCCTGAAATCTTTCAAGGAAAACGCGTGGTAATTCTTGGAGCTGGGCCATCTGGACAAGACCTTTGTCTTGACGTAGCAAAATGTGCAGATAAAGTTTACCTCAGCCATAAACGAACTCTTCTCCGCTGCAAACTTCCAGACAACTTGGAACAACACAGGCCGATAGCCTGTGTATCTGTAGATGGAACCGTTCAGTTTGATGACGGACAAGAGAGGAGAGTTGATGCCATCTTACTTTGCACTGGTTACAAAACTTCTTTTCCATTCCTACATGATGACTGTAATATTCAGGTCAGGAACAATCGAGTAACTCATTTGTACAAACACATTTTTAACACAAAGTTCCCCACGCTGTCATTCATAGGATTATGTTACCGGTTTTGTATCTTTCCACGTTTCCACCTCCAAGCCCAGTACATTGCAGCCACTTTTAGCGAACGTAAAAGGTTACCACCCGAAGATATGATGAATGCCGAGGAAGAAAAGGATTTCCAGGAGATACTTTCCGCTGGTATGAGTGAGAAGTATGCGCACTTTACTTTGGATGACAAGTGGGATTATGATAACACCATTGCAATCTTGGCGGGCGCGGACATGTTGAGCCAACATTACAAGGATCTGCATAAACATATTTTTCGCAGGCGGGAACATTCTCTAATGGAGTATAGGAATGATGAGTTTATATTAACTCCTGATGGAATGTGGAAAACAGTACAATGTCGCACGAAACATGCAAAGTAATATAATAACTGACACAAAATTGATTCATTTTTGAGACCACATTATAGTAGTACGTATCATGGGCTCTTATTTGGGGAAAATAACTCCAATCCTTGGTATGGCACAACTGCAGAATTCGTGACCCTTCTGCTGAAACAGTTGAAAATAAAGCGGCGTACACTAGGCGCGGAAGACGATTGGCGGGAAGGAGAGCGTTAATCCCATCAATTTAAGATGGGTGTGCACACTTTGATGGTTCAGAAATATTACCCTGTTTAAGGCTGTTTAAGGGAAAACCACAAAATGTGAATTGGCTCTTTTTCAGTAATTCTTAATTTTTTACATCGACAGTCATAAAGCACAGATATTTAGAGTAAATTTAAAAGTTGTTAATATGCTATGTCATGGATCAACATTGACAGACATAACAGAATTAGACTAGATGGTAGGGTAACAGATAGTTTGTGCTTTTAAGATCAGCTTCGGTCACTTGATTTAGGTACTTGTAAGCTATTACCTCCATTACACAAGTTGTGGTACCATGGGTTGCGCACTTAGCGGTGAGAGTCATGGGCGCATTGAGGGGTGGTCTGAGGGGATCGCAACTCCCCTTTCTTTCTTTGAAACCTTGTATTATAATTATCAGTAAAAAGAACAGTGTCTATACAGCTGGCAAGTGTTTTAGCCCCCCCACTCTTGCCCTTGCTTCGAGACGTTTTCGCCGGGTACTTCGGTTATCCACTTCGTACAAAATAAAACATCTTTAAATCACAATTCGATACGTATACGGATCGGAATGGTAGACGAAGAGCCACGTTGTGGTTGTGCTACTGATATAGAAGAGGGCGCCCAATAGGGTTCTTTAATCCCGTAATCCCGACCCAAAATTTCGTGCAATCCCGTAATCCCGAGGGTTATCTTGAACATTCTAAATCGAGCCCATACTTTCAAATCCCGAATCTCGCCACGATTTTCCTCTAAAATCCTTAATCTTGAGCTTCAACTCAAGGAAATCCAGGATCCCGAAAAACTTATTAGGGACCCTCATCAAACGTTATTTGAATACAGCGATCGATTATTCGATTCCACTGTAGCTAAGTTCAATCTGGATAATTATGAAGTTTAAGGGACAGGTTCACGGTCAGGCGCATGCTTATTAATTAAATGACTTTTTTCCAATTTATTATTAATTCTATCGGTTAATAATCCCTCCCACATGTATCTGAGTGATCTCAGAGTGCATTTTAGAGTAACCTGAAGTAGGATGGAGGAGTACTAAAATCACAGAAAACAATTAGTGGATAATGCCAACACTACCAACGTTGAATTTATTGTTGACCCGAAGGTTTTATTCCATGGTTGGTTAATTTACAGCTATTTGCAAATATTTAAGTTGATCAAGTGCAAGTGACTACCAGAGGAGTGTGCAGATTGTATGGTTCTTTGACAACATTATGACTTGATCATATTGCTTGCATAGACGATACAGCATGTCCCAGCAAAAAAACAGCATTTTGATAAATGAACATGCGCTGAACCGTGAACCTGTCCCTATTCGGAATAAATTCGTTGCCCAATTTGACTTCCTTTGTAGTACTTACTATCGTTCCATATTGTTTTTCGTTTGTTTGTTTGTTTTTATGGTACGTAATTTATCGCACCTTGGAGTTGTCTTTTGAACTTTTAAATAGGGTTTTAATAAATGATGACTCTTGGTAAACCAAGATTGAATCATGTATAAATAGACCATTTTTCAGTTGTGGACTAAGCACCCTAGCCTTCGAGTGAATGTGAGGCTAACGGTGACCACGGTTTTGATACAAACCTCCTTTGCTTTGTTATGGAAATTGTACCTGAAAAATACTGGTTAACATAAGAATAACTTGATTTACATGATAAAGCAGAAAGGTTTGTATCAAAACAAGGTCAACTCAAGCTTCGGTTCCATCATAGTTAATGGAGGTGACTGGTTATGAAGCCCGGCAAACATCAAAGGAGCAAACAAAGATGCCAAGATTTATGTTAGAAGGTCCACGACCCTGCACAATCTTTTGTTTTGCGTTCATACGTTATGCATGAATTACGTAACCAGCACGTTTCTATTGGTTAGTTCCTCAGTACGGAGTAAACAACTATTGTGTTTTGTGCAGGGTCAAGGCCAAAAAAGAGAACAAAAACATACAACAAAGAACTTTGTCGGGTTTCATAACCATTCCCTCTATTAACTATGGTTCCATACATAACTGTAAGCTACTGTAAAATGGCCTATTGTAAATCACGGTTAAATTATTCATATTTGGATTTGATTCTGCTTTCATATGATCTGAAGAATTAGCTTTTTATGAGGATCGAGGAGGGTCTTCGGCCTCGCATAGATCCGAGGGAAACAGTTAATTTTGTTTTCCCGTTGACATTAAGTGTTTTGTTATATTTCTAGACTTTGACTTCAACGTACTTCAACAGCAACAAAAGAATACGCTTAAGCAGAGTGAATCAAAACAGTCCACTCAGTAACTATAAGAACACAAATTTAATTCTCCAAACCACTGAACGAATGATTTACAAAGTACTTTCCTTATATTGTCTGCATCTTTTTCCTCCACTAGCTGCTGTTTCTCTTCTCGGATAACTTTGAAAGTCGTTGCTTTTTAGCTTGAGGCTTCATGTTTGTGTTGTTGTTGCCTGCATAACAGGCGCTTTATGAGCGCGGCATTTCGCGCGAGGCGCGACACGCGCGAGACGAGAGGAGAAGAAAAAATAACTCAGGGCTCTTCCGCCCTGCTTCGCCTACAGATATTCATTTTCTCAGCCATATCTTTTGTAAACATTGCTTGGCATAATTATCATCTTGTTTGTTTTCTAAATGTATTCAAAATTTGATAGTATCTACGTTAGCTATTTCCTTCAGTGGTAGTCGTCCAAGTTCATTTCTGCATTCAACATTTGGCTGTTTATTCGGACCTAGAGCTTCTTTACAGAACTGAATTTTTGTTTTCTCTACTGATTATATCGTTCTCTCATGAATTATAATCATCTTTATCGTAGATGCTCTAAACTTCGGGGTCATACGTACATCAGAATTGCGAGATACAGTGAATTAAATGACTTGTTAGAAATATTTAATGGCAGTCTAAGAAAATTAAGGTGCTGACGCGGTTGCTAGTATGGATCTCTTGACTTTGTCTTTTGTTGCTTTGTGTTCTTTAAAACTACCATTTGTAGAAAATTTTACCCCAAGGTAGGTGTAACTATTAGTGATTTCTATTTTTTCATTGTTAATGTAAAATTGGTGCTTTAGAGTGGTCGACTTTAAATTTACCGTTTCTACGTTTCTTTTAGAAGATTACAATTTTTGTTCTCTTGACGTTTATATTCATCATCCAATTCACTTACAGAATTTGGAAAGGGTGCTCAATGCTTTTTGTAATAAATTTGCCGAGTGTGATATAACAACAACAACAACAACATCAGCTTTATGTGCATGACTAGAATTATGTAGTAACAGCTTTAACATAAAAAAAAAACAAGCAAACAAACAAATCATAACAATGATAATGCAATGCAATGATTACTATAGTCAATCAAGTGTCATCAGCATGATTTGATAACAAATTATTACGTATATATATAATTACTTTTTTTCTAACTAGAACGTTCCCAGATACTTTTTCTTGGTCTATTTTGCACAAAAATCAAAGTTGAAGAAATCTCAAATTTTTGACAAAAAACCATGGACTAACCCCTTTGAAAAAATGCCAATTTTGTGGGTTTTTGAAACCGATGTTTTCGTTATTCACACAGGCTTGTTTGCTATATAAAACGTCGAAATCGTTTTTTTTACGATTTATTTTCACGATCTAAGACACGGGAATAAAGGGGGGTACAAGGGGTTACAGGGGTAACGAAGGTTTACAGAGGGTTACAAGGGGTGACAGCGGGTTACAGGGGGTTACAAGGGGTTGCAAGGGGTGACAGAGGGTTACAAGGGGTTACAAAGGGTGAAAGGAAGTTACAAGGGGTTACAAGGCATTAAACGGGAAAAAGTGACAGGGAGATACAGGGGGTTAAAAGGGGTTACAGGGAGTTACAAGGGGTTACAGGGGGTTACAAAGGGTGAAAGGAAGTTACAAGGGGTTAAAAGGCATTAAACGGGCTTACAGGGGGTTGCAAGAGGTGACAGGGGATTACAAGGGGTGACAGGGGGTTAAAAGGGGTTACAGAGGGTTACAAGGGGTTACAGGAGGTTACAGGGGGTGTCAAGGGGTAACAGGGAGTTAAAAGGGGTTACAAGGGGTGACAGGGGGTTACAAAAGGTGACAGGGGGTTACAAGGGGTGAAGGGGGATAAAGGGGGTTACAAGGGG